ATATATATATAATGTTCGCAGTTGTCCTAGGCGTGATTCCCCTTTGGTTGAGGCCATAAGTGGTCTCATTTGAAGGTCCGGTTTTCTTCTCTCTGCGTGAGAGTGATTAGGCTGGCGTCACAACTGGGATTCGTGCGCTCGTTTTCATGTCGTGTGTAGCCGTCGATCGTACCCGTTCAGTTCGTAACCGTCTATCTTATTGATTCAGGACCCTCGTTTATACTAAGTGTGACTGAACTTGAACTTCTGACGGAATAGCTGGTGGAAAAAAATGTTTGGGCTGCAATTGTGTTCCCCGAGAAACGCCACATTTTAGGCCTAGTGGAATTGACCCTACCCGACAATGATCGTGCTAAACAGACGAGATCGGTTATACTTAGCTATCAGATTTTGGTGAGATACGAGCTTGAATTAGGCTGCAATCAACAGACTACTCGAGTTATGGCGTCTCAAGTCATTCCCCGTCTAATATATTTGTAATAAATTGTTCCGTAGAACCTTCCTCCCAAGAGGGGCGGCAAATTACTCCCCGATGTGTTTTGCAGAAGTTGGGTTTTATGTTAGTATTAACTTTTGTGCCCGAAATTGCGCAATATAATATTTATTCTTACCTCAAGACTTTTCAAGTTATGTGAAACAACATGGGAATTTAGGCTTTATATGGGCTTTGGAAGTTCATACAATCAGCCTTGTTCAACCTTTTCGTAGGCCATAAAGTCCTTAGTTGACTCGAGAACATTTGCACTTAACTCAACTGTCATTACCCACCCGGGAACAAAACTAATTTCTAACCCTTGTTGTTCATGATGGTTCGTTCTGTCGACAAATATGAACTCCACAAAGGGTACTTTTTCATTTCTTTTCGTTTTCGGGGCATCTGAACGGTATGTGCAATATGAGTAGATGATGACATCATTCCATGTGTGACTCTAAGACTGGACTTGACTTGGTTTGGCTCAAAACATTTTCTTCTGCACAACGTCATCTACTCTGATATGTCACAGAAAGCCTGTTCTTAAAATCCCAAAGGAGAGAAAGAGCAAAAATATTTGCGTGCCGGAGTAAATGGGTGCTCCCCTAAGTGAACGTGGCCCACTCAGAAATGCAAAGCATTTACGGTAGGTGTCAAATTTGTGAGGAATTTAGGTTTTTCGGACAACATCTGCTGCGTAGAGAGAGTTAGCATGAATCGGCGACCGCAATGGATTAGAGCCAGAGTTAGTCGGTCATTCGAGTTCAAAATAAGGCTGAATAAGCAAAAGATTGAGGCAACGTATTGCAAGCTAAAAATGTCGAGGAACTCGATACCTAATCCATAACAACCGCGTGGATTAGTAGGCACGTACTCAAAATAAAATGTCTAGATTGTCGGTGAATGAATGCCAAAAATATCTGATTGAGTACGTCCTTTGTAAGTGGACCACATCCCAGTACATACAGGTTTATGGATAATTCCTATCCATTTATGGGCGAGCTGGCTCAAGTGTTTGGAGCGAGAATTTACTGCCCGGAATGTCCGTGGTTCGAACCCCACCTGTGCTTCTAGATTTCCTCTGTCTAGGCTCGGGCAACCCCGGCCCTCGTGCTCCCTTTGGGTGGTATTGCAACTAGGCACCAAAAAGGTTTTACAGATGAAGGACTAAATCCATTTAGTCGTAGATGAATTTAGAATAATAAATGGGAAGTATTCGTGCTTAAAATTGTAATCCTGGCAGACTGTTAAACGGACACTTTTGAGTGTAACCAGGTATTCTGGTTCTTGAATCAGCTTGGTATTTAAACCAAATGGGTGTGTGCGTGCAGTAAATAGTCTGAGGCGTGAACCACACTAGACGTTGCCTCACTGAATCTATTGTGCATTCACAATAAACTGATTGGTTTCTCAGATGCCATACGCTTTTTGGAGACATTTTTGTCTGGTTCTGAAATCTCGAATTATTCCTCCTCCCTTGAGGTTTAAAGCACAGTGAATTTGCTGCAATTCGACATACAATTGTTAGGCAGTCACGTTGATCGTCCGTTTTCAACTTGAGCTAATCTTGATTGTCAGGAAAGGTCTGACCGGAAAAATCCTAAATCCAGAACAATTGGCCTGGGATACAAAATAGCCAAAAGGCCTTGTCAAACGAGTAAAAATTCCAAATGTGTCATTACGAATTTGTCTGGCACTACAGTGACCCGTTGTTCAAACCGCGGGAGGGCCACTGCTAAAGAGCTCTGAAAAGTGAGTTTCAAACCCAGGTTTCTCCGGAAACAATCACATCATAACGAGAGAAAGACAGTTGCTACATTTAGTGTACCGGTGGATACCGCCACAATTTGCACCCAGTTTCAGCGGGTAGAACGACTCGAGCATTTCGCCAAAATCCGTTCCGCTTGGATGATGCAATCATCACAGGACAACCGGCAAAATAGGATTCGTCCCATCTGCATGCTTCCATTCCACAAAAGAATTCTGAAACAGGATTCTAGCAGATGGGGAGATGACTAAAATTAAAGCGAGATAAAATCATCCGGTGGCATTGACGACCCACATTGGCTACTTTCGTGCTAGATAGCGTATGAGTTTGCCTTTGTTGAATCTGCTGCTTCCCTTATCAAGCATCGTTTGTTTGTCGATTGTGTCACTTCTAGGGGGATGTTTTTACCCCACACGAAATTCGAAAAATTGGATAACACTTATTCGGCTATTCCCTAACTCTTGCTATAATTTTGCACTTAGAAAAAGAATGTGTTGTTAATTTTCCCATTTAGCATATTTGGTTGAGCTTTCCAAAACTATTAACTAACTTATATTTACTGCTAGTGCGTTTCGAGCATAGTTCGGGAAAAAATCTATACGCCCAATTCTTCTTACGACAACACAGTTGGAGTTAGGAAGTGCTTTTTGTTGCTTCACCAACCTCGAATGTAATAACTTGTAGAAGAAATAATTTAAGGACGAGTGGTTGAATATCAACTGAAAAATTAACAAGTATTTATCGGTTCTGATCAGGCGTGCATTGTTCCTGGAGCTTGTGACAGGATCGTTATTTTTTCATTTGCTCTACTCCATAATGTCTTGAGTCTTCGGCTACCTATATACGGGCATTAAAACTACAGATCCGGAACGGAAAGACTAGTAGGAGTCTGCATTATTTGAGTTGGATTGATTAATTCAAAATTATGCAATGTGGGAAAATATCCCAGTAACCCAGCGAATCGCCTCATCATCCGAGGTTATCCTGTCCAAAACCTATACATTTCAGAAGGAACTCGATGGGAGAATTTCTGAGTTCGGTAAACACTGACCTTGCATTTGACCTGTCTTATTACCTTCGGCAAAATTCGGATTATAGCTCATTCGCCTGAAATGGTAACTTTTTGCTACTATCCCCTAATGGTTTCTGCATAATTTAGATTGAAAGTGCTCCCGAACGGCGTGATAAACTCCTCTCAGTTTACGTTTTCAGCTCTGATCATATCGGTGCCCACCTAGCTAAAACGCAGTTCCAGAACTACACATGTCTTTAGCTTGCTAACTTTAAAGGCTTGGGATGTTACTAAGCTTAGCCGCGCACTTGAAACATAGTCAGCCGAGCATCTTTCCAGGACCCATAGGAACGTGCATCATGATTGCATGAAAGCTGTCGTGGGCAAGTGATTTCACGATGGCAACCGAATTATTTTGGGTCTGTTTTAACTGCCGTTAGCCATATGTGCCATGGGCCTGTCTATTAGGTATATTACGAAGTGGAGCTTGGTGATTAAGAAATGACTTGCCCTCGTGAACTTTCACAGATTCTGTGTCATAACAATGTTGCAAAAACACTGCGTTTTCATAATCTTTGTTATTTTTTGTTGATGCTTGAATAATACTTCCAGCATTTCACATAACGTTTGCAACAATTTTGCGTTGCATTCAAATGAAATGGTTCCACAAAATCAAGCATTTTTTCTCGATTGCCTCATAGAAATAGTTGCAAAGTTAGATGGAATGTGAACTCTGTATACTTTGCTCGTGACGCGGTAAACTGTTTTCAGGACGATTGGATAGATTATGAGATGGGCGTGTACATCCGCATCAACAAATGACCATTTCTCAAGGATATTCCCAGTGTATTGCGCTGATTGGCTGATTTTTTCAACCAGTAAGAAACTAGCAAAATATGTCCTATAAAGCACCACAGACATTGTATTCATAGGAGTTAAATGACACCTTTAGGGCACATGACTACAGAGACACCGGAATGAATGCAACTCCCGAATATTCCTCGATTATACTGACCCCAATAGCCCCGTCCATGTGTACGTTTGACGGCTGGCCACTGAAGGTTTTTCACAAAGGATTCCAACCATTCCACACCCAATTTGCTCTATTTCTATGCCCTTTGGGTGTACTTGCGAACCTGATCAATGTGGTAGTTCTCTGCCAACCAAGGCTACGTAATTCCACGAATCTATTGCTTTGCTTCTTGGCAATCAGTGATGGAATGATCATGTTTTTGTATATTTTCTACGATATATTTTATCTGATAATTCCTTATTTAAAAGAAGGAATGCCTTTGAACTATGCCAAAATGCTGCTGATCATTATCATCCTACTCAGTTCTTTCCAAGCTTTTTCTGCGTGGACGATCGTTGTGATAGCTATTTTTCGGATGCTGTACGTTCGGACAGGGGTACGTGCTGTTATTTTTTGCAGCAACGTTCGAGCTAGACTTGCAATCACCTGCGTTTCAATGCTTTCTATCATTCTTACTATCCCGCTTGCTCTGGGACATCGTGTGGTCCCAGTTCTGACCTCATTCAACGACTCAGTCAACGGTACCCTCGGGAGTAACACAACAACCAGCTACACAGTTCATTATGCACCGAACGAAATACTCCGATTTTTTGTGTTCATCACCACAGCAATATTGATCAAAGCCTTGCCCGTAATCATTATGTCAGTGGTCAGTATTATTTTGATTGTTTCAATACATCACACCGAACGACGGTATCGTGGATTGCAGAAGGATACGCACGAAAGGCGTCGGTTTCTTGCGCATATCGAACTAGACATGCGGTCCAGGATGGAACAGCAAGACTCTCGAGTGCCTACTGGACCAGAGAATGGATGTGGATCGGGGCGTTCAGCCACAAAATACAGTGGTGCAAATTCTTACATATCCAGTGGACGTAACGCAAATCAAACGACATACATGTTGCTCACAATCATTGTCCTCTATGTAATCACTATTCTACCTCAGGTGAGTTCTTGAAAAATTTAAAGGAGTAGTTATTTGAACACCAAATAAATAAGTGCGTTTTGGACGCTTGAGGTCTACGTCTGGGTGAGGGGTTTCTGGATAAGACTCATTTACGTTGGAACTCATACCAAATTTGATCATTGTCTTGAGCCGTTTAAAGCCATCAAACGGATTGATTGATGACCAACGGTGTTTTCTTTGTTTCTTTGTTGTTTCTCCATGAATACCGCCCCCTTAGTGACCGACCCATAATCATTTATGGTTCCTTGGAATTTTAAAACGTTTGTCTTTTACAACTGAACAATTATTTTGGGTTCTAACGTTCGACAGGTCAGCATATAAAAAGCACAGCACACTTTTTGAATCCGTTCCTAGTGTGTGTCGCCTAGCCCTCGGTTAGTTGCTTAATTTAATAAGGTCGACATTTGAACTTTACACGTTATTCGGGACAACACTAGATTGTGCGGTTGGTATTTGCCTCAGCGAAGAATTCAGGTCTCAGAGATATATTGTCTATAGCAGTTTACAAACTGCACCAGAGGTATCAGGACTTAATTAAATCCCCTTCTTATGATCTTTTCGAACCAAATGCATTGCATAATCGTCACCCCTGATGTTCGAGATACCGAAGTATACGTTTTCGACCAGTCATGAGTTTCCGAAAACCTAATGAGTGATGCGCTCGTTCGATAAAATTATGGTGGCTTTTCAAATGCATATGGCCAGTCCTCTCACTTTTATCCGTCTTCGGGAGGCCAGAATAACCTCAAACGAAACTCAGTGATAAGGATATTAGGTAGGAAGAAGATATCTCAAACAACGGTCTTGTTGAGATTAGTTATGCATACTCAGAGGAAGGATGCCTATTGTGCTGCGGCCCGATACGTGGTTTACTTAGCCATTTTGAGAATCCCATCGTTTTTAAGAATACAAACAACTCCAAAATACGAGAATGTTTTCTGTGCTAAATTGCACAATGCTCTATCTACCGGTCAGTCGTGGAGTTAGCAGAAGCTGATTGTGAAATCTACTTCCCTGTGCCAAGAATAATTTTCAGTACCAGTGAGGATTGTCCGCCAACATTATTCATGTTGGGAAATGTAGTTAAAGATGCAGCTGGTGAACTCCTGTGAACAGACCGCGCTTAATTCCACGCGGCGACACACTTTGGTCGATGTTAACCAACGTTCTGGTGTAATACAAGGGCATCATTCGTCCAACCTTGTCACTTTGAGCAGTGAGCGAGCTTGTCGGATAAGCAACACTATCTAGAGTAATGTGCGGCTATCAGAAAAAATGACACAAGCTATCAGCAATCCTAAACCTTCGAATAACTTTAAGCTGCAGAGTTGTCATTTATGGACAAATAAATTAATGTTTAGACGTAATCGCTTTGGGATCATTCATGTAGGCGTAGTCCCCGAGTTTCCGTCCGTCTTATGTTCTTCTTCTTGTAATCAAATTGCACAAAATTATCAAACTACATCGATTTCTAAACAAATTTAATTTTGCGAGACTCACCTAGAACGCACCGGAACCTCTCGCCTGTGGTGTTTCCAGAAAAGTAAATATGCTGCACCAGGCCTGGGAACATTAAAAACGAGAGATTCATCCGGTTTTCAGGTGAGTCTCTCGCAAAATCAAATTTATTTGAAAATGAGTGTATTTCAAACCTAATGATTGTTTTTGAGCCGTATTTGAGCCCTCGGTAGAGAACTAGATAAAATAGCCAAATCAAAAATAGTGATCATTGGTTCATTGAGCACCTCGGTTTCATTTTTAATAAAGAGCGGAAATACCATAGTCTGACGCTCAGAAGGGCCAATTATGGCTCATCAAAATGTAAGAGGTCTGTTACTGTCACCATCTATAAGTTATTTGATCGGATGCCAAGGATCACACAAAGGCTTAAAGTCTTGGTGTGATGAACTAATGCAAGAACAGTTAGCTTAACCGATAGCTGGTGCCAGAAAGTGAAGTGTAAAAACAATTTACTTATTCAGACTGTCCGCTCAAATTGAAGGCGATCTGTCGGTCCAATTGATGTAAAAATCGTGAGAAACTGTGGAGAGAAGATAGAGCTGAACATTCAAGAATAACAATTCACATTCTAGCACCAAAGTTCCGGCGGATTTTGGGCAAAACTCACATAAAATGCACAAAAAGCTATTGATTTTTTAAATCGTCTTGTGGTCAACCACCTATTCGTTCCCCACTTTTCAGTGTTTGCCACGTGGAAGTAATAAAAATACATAAGTAAATTTTTGTTTATCTTCCGGATTCCATCTCATCTAACCAGCTGGTGCATTTGATAGAATGAAATAGCCTGTCAAAATAGGTTTGACTAATTGACAGAATACACCCGTCTGTTTACTAAATTGGAGTGAAGGGGAGACCAAAGTAAATAGCTGTTTTATGATGCTGTTGAACTTAGTGTATCGCAAACTGGTTCACTCACGTGTGAGTCTCATTACAGTATACAAGATATTGCGATCTAGTTTCTTTATCTAATTCATCACCCATAACGTTGCTAAGCAGTCTTCGATAGCCCATCACCTGGTTCGCTCTTTTTGGGACTCGCCAGGCACCTGTAGTTCCAGCTAATGGAACTGACCTATCAGCTTGTGAGCCTTCAGCCAGATCCGTGGCAAATCACGCGGGCTTCTGATGTCATCAGTGTAAACATCTAGCGTGTTGACACTGGTGAACGCTCCATTCCACAAAAAAACTGACCGATTTTTGGAGGCCATTTCCAGATATTTCCATTCTCTCATGTTGTTGGAAAATGGGATTTCAGTTATAGGATCCAGCAGACTCTGATATACCTTTGAAAAGCTGTTGCCGAACGTAATAACTATTGACTTTTTAAGCTGATACATATTTAAAAGTTACTTTTAATTTAAAAACAACTGTTTGATGGCGGTTAAACATACCAAGTACAAAAGTGGCTATCAACCTCGTGGCCAGAATCCACCAAAGCAAATCTCCTAAATAGAAATAGTCAAATTTATTTCGCATTACCATATTTACTATCAGTAACGGAAAAAAGCAAATACTTCCCATATTTATTCAAAAACAACATATTTAACTTTTTAAGAGGCGATCGGCAATAATGTTAAAACCAGTGAGGGTGTATCTTGGATCATTTTGTAGATAAAACCAAGCACAAATCTGTCCTTTTGGTTGCATAACAATGTTACACTTTAGGACTGGGTTTCAACGCAAAAGAATTTCAGCAGAATTATGTTAACATTTGAGGGCAAAATATACTGGGAACGCATCAGTACTGCACTGTGAAAAAATCTCATGAACTGAGATCCTCTTTATAATTCATGAACTGAGATCCTCTTTATAATTCACTCAATCAATAACTATGTTCAAGTCACGGGTTTCATCTCTAAGACTGTTGTTCAGCAACGGTGCTCCTAGATTCTCCAGCGATGACTATCTTCACTAAATAATGAAATTTCAGTGGAGTACCCTTAATCCCTCAATAATGAAAAATTCTCACGTTGCTTTGACGAAATTAGTTTATTCAAATATCAGCTGAGTCCTTTAGGACAATTCTTGACCAAATTCTCTTTAGTATTACCGTATAAGATTATTTATTATATAGTATAAATCATTTTCCATTTGGTATTTGGTTTTGGAAATGGTTTTAAAGAGAGTATCTCTGAAGCATTGGCCCCGGAGATTTTACTTACAGACGTGCTTTAGTTGGATGGGAACTCGTTCCGTCCGGCCTATGAGAGCTTCTCCAAAAAAGCAACATTTTTTGAGATATATTCAAAAATAATACCCTCCACCAACTTGACTTCTGCGCGAAAACAGCGGCGACTTATGGTGTACGAAAACCTAATACATGAGAAAGGAAATAACGTCAGTCTACTCATTAACCTGTCAACGTTCACCAACCGGCGCCCTGTTGGAACATTTATACAATTTCCTAACAGTAAAACTAAAATATTATGCTAAAGCTTAAGAAAACTGCCGGCTGGTAAAAATGCTATTTGGTGTAGCAACTTGTTTAGGTGGCAGTAATTGTATATTCACCCACCAATAAAAGTGCATTATAGTCGAAGGATTAGTAGTAACTCCAGTTTCTTCTCTGCTTAAAACGTTTGAGACTTTCGAAGAATGCAAACCGCGTACCACCGAATGTGATTTGTTTACCAACCCTTCACTTGTGTATACATAAATGTATATCAATATCTGTGCGTATCATATCAAATTATCCAGGGAGGTAAACGTTTGGTGGGATGACATTTTGCTAACGAATTTGCTACTCTACCAAACAATCTGTTGCAATAAAGGTTGCCGGTTTCTTTGTGAGTTCCGAAGCGGAGCCTTTGATAAACCTTAAATGAAACGCAATTAACTAGGGCCTTAAGTGGGCTGTAATTGCATTCTTTCAAGGCCATCACTGCTTTCTGAATCATGAATCCAAAGAATAGCGTCGCTAGAAGTATTACGGTGATATTTAGGCACTCAACTTCAGTTAACGGGTTATTTTGTTCGCATATTTCTCCCTCTGAGTGTGCCACATACAGATAACCATTTTTCATAGTGTTACTCTTACGTGCCCTCTAGTATCTAAAAACGTGATTTAGTTTAATCGTGTACCAGACTCTCGTTAGCATGCATACAGATAAATCTACTAAAGGAACAAAATACTAGCTTTAGAATACCACTGGGATTTGTTTGCGGTAATTTATTATTAATTACTATTATTGTTTGCTATTATTACTATTCTTACCCATGAACTATTAACACAGTGGTGTGTAACCAAAGTTACAACGGAATTTCCAAGATGTGCTCTGATGGTTGAACGTGAGCTCTTTCGGAGCAGCAGATCTTCATGAACACACGTCTCGGCTTGGGAGTATTTCTCCAAGGTAACCAGAGGATTGATCTCCACAATACTCCCTTGCTGTTTGACTGGCCTGTGGCCACTAACCGTTTGCGAGTACACCGACGAGATATTCAAAATAAACTGATGAATTTGTGAGTGAGCTCACTACTCGTGTCGAGCGCCAGGCAAACAATTTCATAGTACTTACCGGATCGCACCCTTTATGGTTATGGTATGGCAATCAATTGACTTGGGCTCCGTAGGTCTATTCGCGATTTTTTAAGCGAATTCTGTTCTAATTTTTATGGACTTCACACACAAATGATCTTGGGAAAGCTCCCAGAAAAATATTATCTCTTTGCAATTATGGGAACCATAAACCTCATTCGTGATGGTGTTTATCTGCAACTGTAGAACGTCTGGCCTCCACTTGCAGGCCGGCGACCAGCGTTGGCCTGATCTGAAACAATTTCTGTTGCATCCGCTTACGAGGGGATACACAAATACGGTAGGGATTGTTGCACGTTGTCAAACGTGTATCGTACCGCTCAGGGCCAGAATCGTAGCAAAATATACCAAATAACAAAAGTCCGCGGAAGATTTGTTCAGGTATGGCAAATAGTAACCCACGTGGTTTGCATTAGTGATTGAACGAGAATCTTACCGTTTCGCATGGGTCATCCTGCGATTGAGGTTTGTGCTTGGTTCAGTTTTTGCTGAAAGGCCACGGTGGTGTAAATGTTTGCATAGTAACCTCGGGTTATTTTGTAAATATTAAGTTGACGACTTATTGTACGCATTGTACTCACCAAAGTTGCATTCTGATCGAGGTAAAAGGTTTTCTAGCCAATGAATATACCCTTGGTGGTCATGAGAACGAAGAAGGTAGCAAACAAAGCTTGATTTCTGTGATTGTTCATCGTGGCTAATACATCACAAATTTATATGGTGGTAAAAATCACGTGGAAATGGTTAAGATCTGAGCTACATACACTCTAGAGAAATAGAAATCAAAGGGAGGGGGGTTGTTTGAGGGATAGGTCAATGGGTCACGGAGTCAAGTAAGTGACGTCAATGTCAGACAGACTTGTGGGATCAGATGTTTCGTAGGCCAGTTCAAGTTCAGAGGTCGCACAAGTTTCTTTTGGATGCAAAGTTGTGGATCCAGCAGTCGGATTCCTATCGCCTCTGCGATCGATAGTAGTTTGGATCGTATCCGTTCAGAGGTACCCGGTATATGATGGTGAAGGCTTGCTCCTTGTCTATGGTATGATAGATTTCGGCCAAGTGTGCTGCAATCGCGCTTGAGCCTGGTTTCTTTCCACTACCACTCAGAGATACGGGATTGTGTTCTCGTATTCTGTCCGACAAATGCCTTGTCGTACGACCAACGTATGATGCTCGGCACGAGCATACAAATGCGCACACACAAAAGTTGGTGATAGAAGGTGGCAATTTGTCCTTCAAAGGTTTTATCGTCAACAATTTCTTGTCCCCGTAGGCCTTGAACTTTCGGCTTCCGTGAAATGGCAATTCAGATCGCCAAAGTGGCCCAGTGGTCAAATTTTGTGTTGCCGCTTATAAAATCTCTTCTCATACTACCAGATCGACAGCATTTTTTAGTTGAGGTAACCAAAATATTCTCCCTGTGAGAGCCAACAAACATGATGGCGAGAAAAAACGCATGCGCTAAAGTAGTAAACAAAATGCCCTGAAGAAATAAAATATCTCTATATTGTTCTACCATCTGGTCATTGCGTTCATCTCTAAAGTTTGTTGACAAACATGAAGTAAGGCCCGAGATCTACCAGTTGTATGAATGCACGCTTTTGGCGCGAAATATGGAAAAAACCTGAAACTAACAAGTGCCAGCGGTTGAAAATAACAAGCGCGTCTGGCTAACAACTGATGGCACTCCGGCTGCTGAATAAAACATCGACTTTGCGAGAAGCCACTGACTAACCGTTCGTCTAAAATCGATTTATTCGTACAGTACATATACTCCTCACAATCCCTTACGCTGTATGAATTTACATACGACCATTACATATAATATATGATATATATATATATATGCAAAGTAAGTTGTTGTAGACAATCAAGCAATATGGAAACAGACTGTTAGTGAGAGTTTGTTCTTGTAGACGTAATACGCTACTCATAACGTCACTTAAAAGTCTTTGAAACCCCACAACATTGTAATGCAACATCTCAAATATTATACCAACCGAAACCTGAGGTGATCAGCACATTCAGTTGAGGAAAGTCAACATAAACGAGAGATTTATCTGGGATTTGAGTGATATTGACATGCAGAGAAGGGTATAAGTAGCGACTACATTTGTCCTGATATTGTTTTTTTGGAATTAAAAGGCGTCAAGATATGTGGATTCATCAGCGTCATCTACGATGTGAGTGCTCTGTTCAGGCAGTTTGTACCGCAATCATCTATGCCGTTGTGCAGTCACGATTTCCAGTTAGCACGATAGTTGGCTTTAAAATTGTTGTAAACCCATTCTTGACGTCGGTCAAATAAAAGAATGGTGCTTTTAATCCTACAGGATCATGTGGCTAGGAGTGTCCTTTGCTGCACCAACGGCTTATGCCTCTCGTGAAACCTAAGAACCAAGGGCGGAGGACCTATAAATTTTTCAATTCAGCAGATTTTTTTCCGGTGGCCACCATCGGCTTTCTGGTGGTTGGGCAATGCGTTAGGTTAGAAGTGTTCAAAACTCAGGAGTGCACAAAATCTGGTTAGATTGCGAGAAAAACCAGTGTTTCTTACAAGATGAAGGATCGAGAAAGGGATTGCTAACCACTTACGAAGAATAGTATATTCACAAATGGTACCCTACATTATGCAGCACGATGCATATGACAATAAGTAATCAGGTACAATCCTGAGTGCCTCATGGCGCCAACTCTCCATGTAAAACCACAGAAGCGCGTGTTTGGTTATGCGGTACATGCTTTGATGCAGCAAGTAAATAAGTGGAAAAGCAAATTTATCTGTTTCATTTTTCTCTGTCCAGCTACCTTGCAACTAGAGGGATGAACAAGAACGGAAAACATTAACGTTTTCTAAAAGAAGCAGAATAAGCCGTGTCTAGGCACAAAACCTAAACCTTTTAGTCATTGGCTTAGTATTCTAACCACCGGAAGGTCTGGGGCCACCGTATTGATTACTAATCAGTCAATTAATTAATTAATTAATCAATCTTTAGTGGTCCATAATATTGTTTGTCCTTGAGATTTTCCCGAATAATATGCAACAATGTATGTATTAAAGTGATAAAATCTACACTTACCAGTACTTGTACTGTTGAGAGCTTTGATTCCGCCGAAAACCAAGCAACCCGCATTATGTGGATGTATTACACTACTCATGCGGTTCCTGAGAACCCTTCGGCCACCCACGACCTGTTTCGCACTTCTTGGGTCGCATTAGGTAGGCGCGATCCCCGAGTTCCCGTCACACTCGTGCGTAGGAGGGAAGGGAAACTTAAGGGAAAAGGAAAGGGAACTTAACTTATCGACTAACTGTCGGCACATCTTTGTTCTAAACACTGTTACAGAAACATTGTCTCCTTCTAGACCAAATACCATCCAACGAGTTTGCCTGACAAAGAGGGAAACGCCATTGCTTATCTTTCACGTTTGCATCTTCCAGGACTTGGTATTAAAATGAAATCATGTTTTTCCAAACGCTGTATTATGCGACGGCCTACGGCGTTGTCACTCAAGTTATTTCGCTCTGGCTTTTGAGACTCAGACGACTCAGATGGTACAGTCCACTTCAAGTTCTTATTCGCTCTTTATGTGTATGGTTTAAGGATTCCCTTTTTCGCTCCAAACAGGCTGATGAAATTATGGTCTTGTGCAGGTGTTGCAGTTTGAGTTACATCGATAATTAGAATTATTCAGCGCACAATTTTCTTTGTTGATGACTTCCTCCATCTTTGACTTGAGTGGGCTTGACTGTCAGTTTGCCTCATTATGGATAGATACTCTTATAAGTTGATATTATGGGCTTATATCATTCAGGTAGCGGTCGCTTCTGTTAAGTTTACAGGCTAAAAGCCGACTGTGTTCGAATACAAGACCTGCGACAGCTGACCAGTACGATAACGTTCTCACTTCAGTAGATTGGTGTTCGACCATACGCTCGAGGAATCTGAGAAAAGCTTGGAATGACGCGCACTTGACTGGCTAAAATTCCATCTGTCCAAATAAACACAACGTGATGTGCACTTATATTGACACGCGAAAAGCTTACTTTGGTTGCGGACCACATCTAAAAGTACAAATTAGGCCGGGACTCACAAGTGTCCTCCACTGGCTGGCACTGTGCTGTTCCAGAATGACCATTGTAGAACCAGTCCAAATTCGATAACAACAGAGCCGACTTTTCAGAACCGGCTACTGAATGGTTGTAAACAACAGGGTAGCCATAGTGGACGGGTATTTCAATAGCCTAGTGACAATAACTTTCCTGTCGTATTTGTTCAATTTAATTGTCTATCGGGATGTAGATATTTCAGTTTCGAATCAAAAGTTGATTGTTTGCCCAACCACGATATCCTCCTACTTTTATGTCCACAATTCACTCAGAAAGCATCAGCCCCAAATATGGTAACAGAATTTTACCCCTCACTACAAAGTCTAGACGTAACTCAACATTTTACAAATCAAACCAATCTATGTAAAAACTTTTTACAAAGCAAATGGTTCCGCAGATAAGACTGACATAGGTGTTATCAAGGTGCTAAACGTTTGATGTGGAGGTACACTTCAAAAGCGCAATTCTGGAAAGCAAAAATTCAAATAATCAGGCCAACGAAACTGGTCCAAACAATTCCAACTGATAGATGCGACGTGTCTACAAAGCAAACGTGTGTTCACACAAAGTGATTATCGTAATACTTGTGGAACAATAAGCCTTCCAATTGATTGTAATGAAGAATACATAACTAGAGTGGTGCGGGACACCCACCTCCAGAAGCTCACAAAGCAATAATATTACTACTAATAATATTATCATTATTACATCAAAACACTTAATGCGTTGCTAGGCACGTTTGTTCGAAAGATAGAGGAGTACTTTCAACTCGGATGTGTCTTTTGGTAGCTGATCGACTGGTTGTTGGTTAAGCTCGGCGGATGGATTGATAGACACATCATCAACTGTCATTTCATAGATAGGATAGTAATTCATTTTCGACTGGTACGCCAAATAGATGGGAGTATTTCCTTGAGCGATTCCCTATCGCTATCTCTATGAAACCAAGTTGCTAGGTTCCTAGGCTTTAATTCCTCACTTAGAGTTCCTCGTCATGCTCCCCACAAATACGAGTTTAAAAGTTATTTCTATGAAAACCAAATTGGAAAAGGTCGTGATTTTTGAGACTTGTTTCAGCACACAGGATAGATGTACTGCCAAGCTTGAGCAAATAATTTCTACAATACTTTGCTGAATCATCTTGTGGTTTTAGCGGGTGGCATGCAGCATAAAGTGCTTGTTTTATTGTTTCTTGAGTATTGATTATTACCCTTGCTGCACTTTAACAAAGTGAAGAAATTTTCCCGCAGTTCCCTTGGAAGATGAGAAAACCCAATGCCGTTTCATTCGTGTAAAATGAGAAACTCCACAACCAGATTCATCTGATTATTCATTAGATTTAGAATGTTTGCATCGTATTTATTCGGAAGAAATGAGGTCGAATAAACTGTGCACTGTGTGTAACATTTGGTCCCGTTGATAACTAACGGGAAGAACTACGATAATTGCAGAAAATATTTTATGACCCAACGTTTCGGTTAACGTGAGTGACTTTGGCCAGGAGCAGAGTAATCCGAATCGCGGAAGACAGAAAAACTGCAGTGCTGTCGCCTACAAGAAACTTTCTCACTGATCAGGATGTGACTGGCAAATGTGTGTGGCTCGATAATCCTATTAATTGGTGTCAATGACCTCTGACTGCACAGCGGACATGAGCTGACAATCCTTTCGAGTAACGAAGGCAGGTTGCGTGCCTCAGCACAGTATTGCTCTGCGTGCCTTCATGGGCCTTTCTGGTTTGGTTGAGTATGGTCCAGTAAAATGTTCTGGTTTAACCTCCATGCGTGCAGAGCAATGAATGACTGACTGAACAGCCTCTCTCTTAGGTCTATCGACAGACACCACGCAACCCTTGTTTCTTTTGTGGTTTGTGATTTCCTCATGAAAGTTAACCATTGAGACCGAGAGACTGAGGTAAGAAAGTCTGAAATTACCGTCGTTCTTTTCCCCACAAACCAACATAAATTTCTTCACCAGTTTGTCCCAAAATATTGGATTTCACTTTCCATTACTACGGTATCAAATGATGAGCACTTTTTTCGATATTCCGGCTTGTTATCTTGCGTCAGTCCGCCGGACCTCCGTGATATTCTCTTCTATGAGATGAGCAATCGTAATTAGGACAAACGTACAATCTTGTTATAGGTTTGGGTAACTCTCGGACGCGTGACATACGCTGGACTGCGAAAACAACCAGTGCTGAGTGTTCTATGGTTTAATGTAGTGGATGTATCCGTGCGAAAAAAGTTCTGTTGGGAAATCATTAGAAATACGGTTAGAAGACCATACCCAATCATCGTGCCACCATGCCAGATTTAAGCTCAAATGTCCGGGTTCTATGATTTTCGTACCCAAGTTGAGAAAATATTTGCCCCGATCTTTAAATGTCATCCAAATCATTCTAGCTTACTCGCCATTTTATTCCTGACCACCGCGTTTGAATCAGTTTACGCGTCAGGAAGCTCATTTTTACCTCTGTAGTCTCATTCTTTGAAATTTTTTTGGAAAAAAGAATGCTAAACGTGAACAAAAGGGTATGCTCAGCAGACATTCCATAAATTTGCTCGTTGACTCAAAAAAAAACTTATTTTACAAGGTATTTATTGTTACATTTTAAAAGACTGCTTTTCTCGAATGAATATTCTACTTTTATACTCTCTCCCATAAACGCAACAGCACTCGAACGACACAAAAATGACCGCTTCACCTACTCCCCAACTGAGAAACACTAATATGATTACTAACACATATATTCGAAAAATCTGGATTTTACAAACTTTTCGCAAAAGCGGCTAAATGCTACACTAGATGTTGCTTGTTCTGACAGATTGACAGTTTTCCTTTTGGATGTGCGACAACGAATAATTTCTGGCACGACACGACGTCACGCAAGCTTATTGAATCGGTCGGTTTGGCGCAAATAAATCGTTCTATTTTGCAAGTGGATACTTATGAATTTTTGAGTGCCATATTGGGAATGGATTGAAAAATCTCTAGTATATCTAAGAAACGAAATTGCCCTAAAATTGAGTGAATGTTATCGAGTTGGTAACAATCACTAGGCTTTGCTAGATACGTCCGTTTTATCGCTATTTGTTCCTGCTAACACAATAAACGCAAAGAGTTTTGTTAGACCGTATTCTTACACTTTATGAAGTGTTTAAAACTGAAAGAATCATATTTTATAGATTTGAAGTTTATTTTTACTGAAATATTACATCGATTTAACAATGTGACAGAACTATCCACCTTTCGGCCGGTCATTTTTTCTGGTTGGTCTGCATCAAACATATCTCGTAAGATTCCTCAATGAAAATGGTTAACATCAGAGGTACGGCCCGTTTTTACGGTGGACTTGTTTTGACCAGAGTTCGATGTTTGCGGTCGGTAAATCAGAGCATTTGTGACAGAATACAGAGCTTTGCCTTTTAATACATTGTTGGGTTCTACGTAACTACCATAGTTCGCCCATGACTGAGTAAAACCAGGCAAAATCAAAATCACCGTTTCTTTCAAATTTCTGCCACTGGGTCGACCGTTTTCCTTCTAGCACGAAAGCTGTAAATGACTCGTAGGAAAGGCTGAAATATCTGAGTAACTTATCAGAACATACAGCGAAGAATTTCGGACAATAAACCCAGTAGCGTCAAAAAAGACGACAACAAAATTATGTTCTTCGATGCTCCCACTCTGTTTACATCAGTCAACCACAACCTAGCCGGGAAGACTGTTACTCATTCAGATTAGAGGAACGACGAAATCAAAGAGCATTTACCAGCTTTGAATCTCATTTTGGAGGAGAATAATTACAAAAATTTGAAAGTAACCCCAATTTTTCACCATTTTCGGGATTCATGGCGGAAGCAAAAATGCAGGAACCAGAAGGCAGTGTTCCAAAAGTCATCAAGCCAAACTTCTGGGCAAATTTTGTGGACAACACCTTAGTGATCAAAACAAGAGCAAGAAGAACAGGGCTCCTCGATAGCAAAAGGTGAAGCAAAGTCAAACAGTTAACGAATATCTTTTCCCACACCAGAGACATATCGGAATTATCAGTATATCTGAAGCCCTAATGAAAGCGAGAGGTTAATGGCCCATTAAATAATGGCTACATTAAAGCAAATGATCTGAAGACCAAAGGGCAATGGCGACAAGGGCACAGGAAACAGCGCCGTGTACCAAATCAGCTGCATAGACCGCAACAACAAATGTGTTCGACAGGCTGTTTTTAAGCTATTCTACACGCGCAAAAGAGCGCAACGCGGCTATTCAAAGGCAGTTTAAATTACATAAATCAAGAGCAGGAAGGACATAACTGGGATCTAGGTAACCAAAAGATCGTGAAACACAGGAACAGAATTTATGGCTTATGTAGTTTATTGCCAGAAGGGGCAAGAACTCATGGTGCTGATTATCCTAGTCTGGTTATCTGTAATCATACTTGTTGTATTTTGGTTTCAAATCGTCTGTTATAATGAGACCAACAGGCAACGGTTGTCTTGAAAGCAGTGTTCCGAAGTGAACCCATTTTAAAGTCTCGGTGGAAGTATACTAACGTGGACTGCAAACTTTTTTGCCAGTGATTTTCTGTACGGCGCAGTGCAGTGACTAAGGCTCATAGCGGCATTTATTGCCTGTCCATTATTCACCTTTTGTAGAATGAAACCGTAACAAATATTTTAAAACTGAAGGTGTCGTCTGTTCCTTTTAGTTTCAAACGGTGCCAAGTTTGCAATTATCGGGTGATATATTACCATGCGTTATGTACCACACAACACTATAGTAATTCACGGAGGAACACATCGTTCACACGTCTACACGGAAAGCAAACTGAAAATAACAACTCCAATTTAATGGAGACACCCATTTACTTCTGCGACTTTAATTCTCTCGTAGAATTTTTATGAATCGTGAACTTTGTATCTACAAAATTCGGGGTTAGAGATTTGACCAATTTTAAATTCTTATAGCAAAGGGAGTCTTCTGGTCCTCACTTTGAAATGCAGCCTGCCGAAATAATTATCCAAAAGTTCGGGAACCTAGAATCTTCAGGGATTTTTTGAGGGAAAATATGCTCAAATCATGTTCAATTACCAGTCATAGGCCAAATTTTTGAATAAGTCAACAAGTTTGTAACTTGTTGACAACCACACGTATCGGCCAAAGTTTTAGACAGGTCAAAAAAGTTGAACGAAATTCTTAGAAGTCAAAAACGTCCAGTTAAACGCATTTTGTAGTAGCCCGTCAGAAGCAAGCTATGAATACCAGAACATTTTATGATGTCTACGTTGCTCCTCCCTCTTGTGGATGCTGGAGAAATTCCTTTTGGTTGATATCTGTGATTTGGGGTTAAGGACGCAATACTACCTGTGTATGTCTACTAGATTGCTCAACCATTTTAAACTCATTTACTTACCAAATAAAACGTGGTCCTTGAGTCTGCTTGATGGGGCGCTGCCGTTGCCCTCGGCGCATTCCATCTGTTTTATTATAGCTGCTGACCGATCTGTCTGCAGTCATGTGACTCAAACTTTACTGGTGAAAAATAATTTTGTTGCTACTGATGCTTCTCTATCTTGGTGCGACGGTGTCCGGATTAAAACGAGGGAGATGCAAAGAAACAGTAATACAGAGTATCAGTTGTTGGATAAACGCGTACCATGAAAAAAATATCTCCACATACTTACAAAGATATTCGTTAGTTTACATGGTCCGTAAATTGACAGCGGACGTTTTTGCACAATCCAGTATTGTTGAGGACAATATAAGCGTACGGGCTTCAGTTATTCTTGAACTTAAAGTTTGAATCTTTAATGCAAAAAACAAGATTTCTTGGGATCTGCACAAATAATCTCATTTGCGCACGGTTTCAAAAGTGACACGTTAGGATCCAACTGAGTTTATGACAGTCTGCCCAGTTTAGGTCCAATTAGAACAAACGGTTGGAGGAAAATTGGTGCCTGTGCCCACCTGATGAACCCAGTCGTAAGCTTTCAAAAAATTCTCAACATCGTTGTGAATACAGCTTCATTTTGATCCCATCTATGGGGCAAAGCCAAAGTGAGCATCACTCCGAAGTAAGGCGCCGTATGCGCACTTACAAATAGGGTTCGTATAAAGAGAATGCACCCATCATACATGAGAAAGTGTAACACTTACAAACTTACGCTAATTGGTGGATATCCTTGACCGTCAGTATTCAAAAGTGCGCGGTCTTGTTTTTGCGAATAATTAATTCACTATTACATAAACCCACCGTCGAAAAATTCAGCAAAATGCATGGAAATGTGTGTTTTTAGAGACGTTATTCAGTCTAGGTCGTACAGATGACTGTTTTTCTGTCCGACAAATTGGGCAGTTACAAATGTTTGGTCATCAACTGAGAGGACATTCTTAGTGTCTGGTAAGTTTACTCCGCGATGGAGGGTACCCACAAGTAGGAGCGTAACGATGCACCTGGGCATTTGGAATGGTACGATACTGCTTTTGTGTCATCACAGGGCACATTAGTAACATTCGACGAACTTGAAAATGGTGTCTTTCACTGGCGACTTTCTAGGGCGTTTTTTAGGTTAAACTATCGATAGAAAGAGGGTGTGAGGCGTCAGTTTGAACCGGCACATTTGAGACCCATCTACAATAAAATTTAGTTGTCTAAATTTTCGGGGTTTATTTTTTGTGAGGTTTGGAGGTCAAAGGGGATTAAAAAACTACAACAGACACCTGCGACCTTTACAGTAGTTGCAATAAACATCTTGAGTAACCCACACCAAAGTAAAAAGGTTCTTTCTTCTACGCCAGTTAACTTACACAAGTGGTGATGGTTTGCTTTTTTGGTCGTTTGCTTTATTCCGGTCTGACGAATTTTGCGCGGCGCTTTGATTCCTTGCGCTCAGGTTGGCTGCAAAACGACAGTGAAAATAGGAAACGAGCAATAGACAGAATATATTGTAGAAATTCTGTATTTAATACTGATTTGTTCAATTCGTCGTTTTTTATGCCACAGATATGAAGGAAATTCATAAGTCCTTTTTGTGTGAGTGGCCGTCATTTAAGGAACCAGTCAAAACCAGATTATGTGAGTTAGATGGCTCTATCAGTTGATAATTTTCCATATACATCCAATCGACATGTAAATATGGGGGCTGAGTGTTCAAGATCGTAGTACCGAAGGATAATTTTGTGACCATGTCCTGTCGGTGAAACAGACAACCGACCGGCAATTCAAGCGTTTCCGAATAGTACCTGGTAACAGGATGGTATATTGTTCATTATTCTTTTGTTATTCTTGGTAACAGCAATCCTGATAATTTTAAAAGAAACGGAACGGCAGATTAGTACTACACTTTCATGAGAATACTCACTTGATGTTTTTGCAATCCTACAGGTGCCGGTAGATGTTGCGAGCACTGCAACTGTGATGCGTTCAACTGCTGGCATTTGGTATTCACATAGCTCAGAGGACTTTGTCGCAATACGTCAACTAGGATGAACATGTCTCCTGCTTTCCGTCACCTACACGATGAATACCAAATATAAGTGACTAGAAAAGAAAGACTCACGTGGCTGACGTAACTGGGCCATGCAGCAACAAAACACAACGAAAAATGATTGAACTGATTGAATAAATTATGACGCACTGGTGACGTCAGGGCGCCAGGCCCTGTCCAACATTTATTCTCATGGATCTTAGTTTAGACCAGTGAACGAACGGCTGTACCACTGAAACCCAATTGAATGTTTTTTTCCAAGGGAACACAAACCTGCCCATAAATTGTAAAAATTTGCAAGAAGGATGCGTTGTCATGGTTATTATATCTATACTCTCATATAAAGAGCAAATTTTTGGTCGGTGAAAATTGAAGTGGTCCTCGGAAACAGGAGGAACTACAATGTTTATTAGGCCGGTTATGTTGTCCTGTGATCAACCATAAAATGTGTCCCGGTGAAACGTTTTAACGCTTATCCAAGCACTCGGTTTTACAATCAATCAAAGAGCGGCCAGTGGTGTTAGCTGGATGCCTCAATTTACTGTATTCTTCCATATTTGTTAATGCTATGGCCTACGACTTAACAAAATACTATATAAAATAATGAGTCGGGCGACAGTCACTCTCGTAACTCGTATTGTCGGTCGCCTGTGATTTTCAAAGTGGACGAACAAAATTGGAAACTGGTTGATCTATCTTAACAAGGTCGTTTTGTCTTTCTATCATAGCCTTTCTCTTTTTTGCCCGTGATGCTTGTCCTTTTGAGTTGTGACAGTTTGCCAATACAGCCATGTCAATTTGATAAATTTCGCAGAATTTTCAAACGAACACGCAAGACTTAACTATACTGTATCGGGGCAATCTCCGTTCATATTGTTTTCTAAGAGTGTAGAAAGTAGTTTATCTTATTCGCAGCATTTTGCACGAATAGATTTCCCCAATGAGGGGAACGCTGGCGGCCATGGTAATGGCCGCGGTCTTATTGGTAGTGGTGAGCAGTTTAACTGCAAACATTTAATAATCATTCGGGATAAAATCGTCCTTGCGTTATGAACGGAAGGATATGACCACACGATCTACCTTGAATCTTCATCGTTGGTTTCAGTGCGTATTCTCACCAGCCTGTTGGTTGACAAGTCTCCTGGGTGTCTGATGTCCAAATAACAATTGGTTTTGCCTCTTAGGTTCTTATAGTAAAACTTACTATCGCGTGTCCTCACACACTCCCTGTTTTGTAATTCACCTGTCAGAGCCAGCTGATTATGTGGCGTTTTGCTCGTAGTGATGTACAGAAAGAGTGAATTTTTTCCGATGATAGATTTTATTTGTTACGGACAGCAAAATAATCAATCTACTCTTGTTTGAGAGAAGCAACTAGCTAACATACGTTAAAGTCAAGGAATTTACGTGTACGTATACGTTACCGATATTTCATTGCAGAAAAACACGTTCGATAGATTTGGGTATTTACTAGTTGGCAAATTTGTACAGCCATTAGGACTCTCCGGCATTCCATGTCACACTGACGCAATCGGGGTTTACAAGGGACTGTTAGGACCAAAACATAGAGCAATGTCATTCAAATCAAAGCGGACAAACGATAGTCTTTTTGATTTGAAAATCGCGCAACAATGAAGTTGGCGGGAAGTTTATTCCTTGACGGCTAACTTCGGCCTTTTCCCCGTTATGTCATTCAAATCAAAGCGGACAAACGATAGTCTTTTTGATTTGAAAATCGCGCAACAATGAAGTTGGCGGGAAGTTTATTCCTTGACGGCTAACTTCGGCCTTAGATTTTCCCCGTTAAAATTGAACTATTTTTTAATTTAGCTGGAATTTTGACAATATAATTTCTGACGAAAACCGACTGCATATTAAATAAATTAGTTATTAATTTACCTATGCAGCTGTTAGAATTCGAACGCGCTCTGAGAAAGTCGCCAACATTTGAAGTGAAGTTAGAACTTTGTTGATTAAATTATCATTATCATGACATGCAATTCAAATTGGGAATAACCCGTCATAGGTTTTACCTAATTGGCTGTGGACCTGAAATGTGAGTTTGAGTGACAACCATCTCCGTCAAACTGTTTGTCTCGTGAAACTTCTGTCACGCGGGATGAATTGAGTGGGCAACGTACATATTGACGTAGTAGTTTGTTCAACACAAACTAGCCTTTTCATTTATTCTCTCGATTACTCTTTGAAGTGTGGAATAAAGCTCAGAAACGCAACGTTGGGCCACACCCCTCGGGTACACTTAGCTGGTGAGCCGACGGACCAACCAAAATTCCATTTGAGACACGCGCGTTTTTCGGGAGGAATTTCGTGAAAATTTTACATTAACTGGTCGCAAGTCGCTCGCAATCACTATCGCAGTTTTCGTACCGACTATTTGTCGCACTAGCCAGTACTTGCTTTGAAGGAGCAGTTTGGCTGTTCACATTTCGTGGGCTAATGAGATGTCAAATAGGACGTGTGGTCAAACAAACAAGCAGAAATCCACCCAAAATAACAAAGCGCAACAGCCGCCCATTCGATCGTGTCGGCGCTTATACGATACTCTCTGGGTATGGCATGAAGTTCAGCATGAAGACGGACTGTTTTCCGTTCCATCGTGGACTACTGTTTACTGGATAGTAGTAGTGTATACTAAATTGTTGAATGTTTTGCTTCCCTGTTCGTATATGTATCGGAGCAGATCAGTCCGAGAACTTTCATTATGCTATTACTTGGGGCTGTTGATGTCGTCATTTCTTTTCCCAGTCCTAGAAATTTCAAAAAAAAAAACGCAGTACTCTATGGAGAGCCTGTCAGGTCTTGTAACTTGTAAACACGGAACATTTTGGTTGCAACATCCTCAAGCATTTTACCTCTATGGTCGACCATCGTTTCGAATTTTTTATAGCCTTTCTGTTAACCCGGGAGAACAACACGTTCTACCTCATTTTACTTTAGTGATCGAGAAATTTAGTTCAGACTATGCACGCAGCACTTGGCGATTTTCAAGTTGAAGCATACAAAGTGGGTTAAGATGAAGCAACAAAGTTGAGGTCACTGAATCTCTCTTTCCCGGCGATATTCATTTTTTTTGGCTTTATATCTAAAATTTGTGATACCTTGTCACGTCAGATGGTTCTAAACGTATGTATAAACATTAGTTCGTAAGGATGTTGCGGTTGAATTTGATAACCGTAATAAGAGTTTTTCCTGTTGCTCAGTGATCGGCAATTTTACACGACAGCAGTGCAGTCATTTTAAGCGGGTGAGAAACTTAGGAAGTCTGCTGGAAAGTACCCATAATTGAGTAAAATGTTACCACTTTGTTGTAAAATGCATGCAGGCAAGGTTTTTATGTTTACTTCTTCCACAAGGAATCGATCTAATGTGCGTGATTTTGCCGTCACAAATAATGATTTGCCAGTGCCTTTGTACAGCTATTCTAATCCTGCGAAAACTTTTCTGAGTTCAGCGAAAGGATAGTCTTACCAAACACGTAGAAGTCTGTTAGTTGAGACGTCAATCATATCCTCCGATGGAAGCTCACTAAATATTGTGTCTGACTTTTTGAAAATTGACGCACATTTGTCACCATCAACAAGACTGGAGAATGCGAAAAACTTGCAAAATTCTTTATTGCTGATTTAATAAACATAACCTCCAGGTAACCTTTGTTAGGAATCAGACCAAAAGCCCTTCAGTAGATGCATCCGTGAACAGTAGTACCCGGCAAAAAATCAAACGGCATGAAGTAATACTAAATACAACTGAGGCAGTGGTATGGTAACGATGATGAGATAAAACAGTAACAAGCATACAGCTTCATGATTGGCAAACAAAAACGTTCGTTTCATTCGAAATGTGCACGGTGATTTTAAACATTTCAACCAGAGAGAAAACAACAATAAATGAAACAACACATTTAGTTATTAGAGGCAACACTATTCGGAACAATCGATATTTGGGCAAAGAACGTCCTGGAGGGATTCTATCACCCTATTCAGTTTCGCAATACTGTGGTACGCTAGTTGGTACTTTCACAGGGAACAATTGAGGGGGTTCCTGAAGGCAGCAATACATGGCTGGGAGAATGAAAAACATAAGAACGGGTCGAAATGAAGTGTCAAAGCGAAAACGTTTTTTCTTGACAGAACGAAAGAGTATCCGTGAGCTCATCATTTGTATGACCGTTCCCAAGTTAAGTCAGGTGGTCTTAGTCACGAGGATTTCATCAACCTTATTTTACACCCAAAAATCAAATTAGTTTAGGGTTGTTTGTGTGGCATTGAGGGACTCAAGTGAACCTCAGTTATGCCTCTCGTTTATGATATTTGTTCAACTGCACGTGTTCCACATGCTATTCCACATTATGTTTCAGTCGATACGACATTCCAAATCTCGCGCTACGTTTTATGACATAATACACTATTTTTGATAAGAAAGTGAAAGTTCAGAATACTTCCGTGCACCACACTCAGTCATACCATATCATTAATAAGAAATACACTTTAATTCCTCGCTAAAACCAGCATTGCTTAAAAGTTAGTGTATTTTGGAATTTCATTTTGT